AAGACCTCTGTGGAGAAAATAAATGAAAATATGGTAGAAATAGCAAGATAACTATAATTGGAGATGGTGCCTGCATTTGTGACTGAACTGCTATAATCTGATGATCAAACTTGAATGGGTAAGAAGTTGCTTCTTCTGGATGAGCAAAGAAAGTGGTTTCTTGAGATAGAATCTACTCTTGGTGAAGATGCCACGAACATTGTTAAAATGAAAACAAAATATTTAAAACATTATATAAACTTAGCTGGTAAAGCAACAATGTGGTTTGAGAGCACTAACTCCAATTTTTAAAGTTATGTTGTGGGTAAGACTCTATCAAATAGCATTACATGCTACAGATAAATCTTTCATGAAAATAAGTCAATTGATGCAGGAAATTTCATTGTCTAATTTTAAGAAGTTGCCACAACCACCCAACCCTTTAGCAACCACCACCCTGATCTGTCAGCAGCCATCAACATCAAGACAAGATCATTCACCAGCAAAAAGTTTGCAATGTGCTGAAGGATCTTTAGCAGTTTTTGCAATAAAATATTTTAAAATTAAGATATGTATATTGTAGTTATAAACACAAATTTTATGTGCACTGGGAAACCAGAATATATGTGATATTTGTTTTGTTGCAGTGGTCTGGACCTCAATCTGTATTCTCTCAGTGGTATGCCTGTGCATCATATTAGAACATGTATAGGGTGTATATAATGTAAAGATGAGAGAATTCAGATTAGAACATATATAGGTCATATTAGAACATATATGTCATATATTAGAACATGTCATCATATTAGAACATATATAGGTTGTATATAAAGAAAAGAGAATGCAGATGCACATAGATACGCTAATAGAAGGCAAATGGAATTTCTGTTTTTGATTTTTTTTCCTTCCACGTAGTAGAAGGGAATTTCCTGTGTTGAGAACGAGGAGGCAAGTTGGAAGTTTGAGGAAAGTGAAATAACTACGACAAGTTGTGTTCTACAATAGAATAGTGAGATTTAGATGCTTGTAGAGAATTGCGACAGTTTAGAGGCATGGCTGAGGTAAATGACAGGGGACTGACTAGGAGTTGCTGAGCACTGTAGATTGAGAGAGCAGCTGTGATTGGATTGTGTTCATTTATTGTGGCATCATTCTTCATGGCTGCTTGGTTTCAGCAGCCGTGAAGATATGTATATTGTAGTTATAAACACAAATTTTATGTGCACTCGGAAACCAGAATATATGTGATATTTGTTTTGTTGCAGTGATATTTGTTGTGTTTTTTATCAGCAACTCATACGTAGCAGCAGATGATGTGAATGAATGGTTGAGAGTGACGCATTGTTGGAGTTTAGATGGGCATGTGCAACAGGGAGGTCTAGAGTCAGAGGAGAAAAAGAGGTTAAGGTAAAGCACTGTGAGATCTTCAGGTGAGGCCAAGGGGCAGGAAGTAACATTCTTGGAGAGTAGGGAACAGTTTTCCATGAGATCACAGCAAGATCAGAGTTCAGGGGTCATGAAATAGGGAAGTTAGTGTAAAGGATGAAATGTTATAGTCAGAAAGAAGATATTTTAGATATGGTATAGGGCTTGAGCCCACATAGTAAATAACTGAAATGGAGTGCAAAGAGAGGCAACTATGGTGGAGGCTCAAAGACACATAATCCTGGGTTGTTGGAAGTAATGTTTTTATAGGCAGTGAGTCCCAGAACATGAAAAGAGGAATCATCGTGGAGGCTTGTGTTAACATCAAAGAAAACGGATCTGGGAAGGGCAACAATTTCATGATACTGATCTCTAAGTTAATCCTTGGATAATCAGGAATTTGTGTAAATTTATAGGCATAGGACTTGGCAATGAAACAAATGCTACTAGGGCAAAATGAGAATCCTTTCAAGATAATACATTTTAAATGTTTTCAATCCATGCACCATGTGGCTTACGAGCCTCAGACAGATTTGGGTTTGGAATTACATCTTTGACTTGCCAGCTGTGTGGCCTGGGCAAATTATGTATGGACTCTGAAACTTAGCTTCTCTATCTTTAAAGTGGCAATAATAATATAACCTACTTCAAAAATTTTCAGTGCCCTTTTCAAGGAAAATAGTCAATAAATAATAGCTGGCCAGGCGTGGTGGCTCATGCCTGTAATCCCAGCACTTTGGGAGGCTGAGACGGGCAGATCACAAGGTCAGGAGTTCAAGACCAGCCTGGCCAACAGGGCAAAACTCCATCTCTACTAAAGATACAAAAATTAGCCAGGCATGGTGGCAGGTGCCTATAATCTCATCTGTTTGGGAGGCTGAGACAGGAGAATTGCTTGAACCTGGGAGACTGAGGTTGCAGTGAACCGAATCATACTACTGCACTCCAGCCTGGGCAACAGAGTGAGACTCCGCCTCTAAATAAATAAATAAAACAAAATAATAAATGATAGCTGCATAGTCAAAGGTAAGGAAAAAAAACCAGATATGTTTATTGATAAAAGCCAAAGCATATTCAAACTGCTCTGAATTTATCATATATAATAGCCTCACTTGTGGGCAAAGCAAGACCGGGAAAGCAGCTGGGAGATATTCAAGATTATATGGTAAAATTATCAGATTTCCAGCTCTTAGCAGGAATCTATAGCACCGTCTTTTTTCTTTTTGTTAGACTTCCTGGTATAACTCCTTGATGTGGACATGCCTTACTTCCCAGTGTAAGGAACTCAACATTGCTCAAGAAAATCACTCCAGTTTTTAGGGGCTGGGGAGAGGGGAGCAACTGTTAAGAGTTCGATTTTTTTCTTTATGCTGCGTAAGTCTATTTTACCTAGTTTCCAATCATTTTGACCTTCTTGTGCCTCTGGCCGTTCTATTTTCTCTTCTACATGACAGCTTTTAAGCCATCTGAAAACAGTGACTATTGCTCCTAAAATTTTACTACTCTGACATAGACATCCCTGGGGTCGTCAGTATCTTTTTATGAAACAGCCCCAGGGCCTTTGCACTTCATTGCCTCCTCTTGCCTATTTTAGTCTGTCTTTGTCCCTGTTGAAATCTCACCTCCAGGCATGATCTGAATGCCACAAAACTGAGTTCAAGCTCTTGCTTCCTAAATTTTTGAACACCATTCATGCAGTCACAGCTCACATGGATCTTCTATTAAGCTTTCAGTGTATTTTCTCATACACCATCTTCATGAACTTCACCAGAAGTACAGGTGAGTTTTACAAAAAGAGGCAGAGCTTGTTCTTTTTCAAGCTTTCATTTTGTTAGATTTGCTTATTGTCCATGCTTGATAATTTTATTTTTTTGTAATACCAATTTTAGCAAATTGAATTTATGTGCAGATTTGATGAACACTGGATAAGTCTTGGGTGACTGGCAGCTGCTTCATTTGCAGTCCTGGATAAATGTCTTCTCAGTCAAAGCCCCTGAGCCTTGCCTCTTCCTGGTACATGTGGGAAGATGGGAAGAAGGAGGGCTACATGCAACCTCTGGCAACATGCCTCTTTATTATTGGAGATGAGATAAAAACACAGGACTTGCAAACTCTAGTGCTTGTTATACTGGTCCATGACAGTATTTTCTCATCAGAATCAAAAGTTTTATTTGTTTTCGGGAAGGATTATTTTTGGTTTTCAAATTATGCCTTTTATTCTACTTTGAATTTAAGTGTTTTCGTTTTTTTTTTTTTTTTTGTTTGTGACAAATGTGGTAGTGAGAGTTTTAGAAATTTGTTCACTTGGAAAAATAAATTTGTCAATCTGTTGATCCACCAAATGAAAAAAAATCATGAAAGACTGAATTTTTGGAGATTGTTGGTATTTAACTTATTGAGATGTATTAAATAAGTTGGGTAAACTATAAATGTTTACTTCTTCCAAATACTAATTTCTACTTAAGAAATAGTTAAGGCAAAAACAAGCAATAGGGAAAGGATTCCCTATTCAATAAATGGTCCTGGGATAACTGGCTAGCCATATGCAGAAGATTGAAACTGGACCCCTTCTTTAATGCTATGTACAAAAATTAACTCAAGATGTATTAAAGACTTAAATATAAAAAATATAAAAAATCAAACTATAAAAACCCTGGAAGACAGCCCAGGCAATACCATCAAGACACAGGGACAGGCAAAGATTTTATGACAAAGATGCCAAAAGCAATTGCAATGAAAGCAAAAATTGACAATTAGGATTGAATTAAAGAGTTTCTGCACAGCAAAGGAAACTATAAACAGAGTGAGAAGACAGCCTACAGAATGGGAGAAAATTTTTGCTAACTATGCATCCAACGAAAGTCTAATATCCAGCATCTATAAGGAACTTACATTTATAAGGAAAAAAATGCCCATTAAAAACTGGGCAAAGGCCGGGCACGGTGGCTCAAGCCTGTAATCCCAGCACTTTGGGAGGCCGAGGCGGGTGGATCACGAGGTCAAGAGATTGAGACCATCCTGGTCAACATGGTAAAACCCCGTCTCTACTAAAAATACAAAAAATTAGCTGAGCATGGTGGTGTGTGCCTGTAATCCCAGCTACTCAGGAGGCTGAGGCAGGAGAATTGCCTGAAC